GACAGCACAGCAAAACTTGGAAGTGACAACTTAACAAGGGAGGGGAGGGTCACTGAAATAATTCAGCATCTTATTTTAATCACCATATTTTCTGCTTTTTGATGCCTGTGGCAAAATTGTGATGCAGGTGTGTGTCAGGTTCACTCCTATCTCATCATATTAGATCTTGTTCTGAGATATAAACAGCAGCTACACCAACTGGATGCAGTGAAGGTTTGTACCAGAAAGCCATGTGTTTCAGAGCAGTGATGGAAGGATGACTATCACATCAGTTCTGTAGCTTATCACCATATAAACTTAGTTTGCGTTTGTTATGGGTTTTCTGTTAGAGGATGTGGCCACAAATCAGAGGTTGGCAAGGAAAGAATTACTCTAACCTCTTTGATTAAGGAAAGTTAAGGCTGTGCCTGCATCAGTGACAGCTCAGGAGGTGAGCCTGTGAGTTGCTGCTCCTGGGGTTCCACCGTGGGACCCTTCTGGGGGTGTCCCAGCAAAAGAATTCATCCCCATCCTGGACAGGCAGGCAGCTGCTGAGAGGGTGCCAAAACTGGGCATAACATGGCCTGTCCTGCCAATTCCTGGTGGGCCTCCCAGCCGGAGGTAAATCACTTCCAGTGAAAGGCTTTTCTTTTTCCTCCTTTACTGGAGGATGTTACTTGAGATACAACCAGAGCTCACTTTTCAGTGAAGATGGTCCGGAACCTGGGGATAGACACCATCCTGAGTGTGTGGGGTCTCTCCTGAGTGGGAATGGCAGGATCCCACCAGCCATGGGCAGGGAAATGATCCATGTCCTTAGCCCTGACTAAGCATGGGCTTGGGCTCACTGCTGTCATGGAGACAAGCGACTTTTATCAATTCATTTTCAGCAGTGTTTGGGCCAGACCCCTGCCTTGTTAAAACAGTTGAAGCAGGTAGGAATCAGAGGGGATGGCCAGTATCAGCAGAGCAGAGCAGAGCAGAGAAGCAAAGTATTATCTCTTTTCTGTATTATTTCACTGAAAGATATTTTAGGCCTTTGACTGCAGCAAACCACGGCTTAATTAAACTCAGTTTAATTCTTTGGTGCAGCAAGGTTTGGCTGGGCAGGTTGGAGCTCTAACCCCTTGCAGATTTCCATTTCCCAGCCAGCAGCACAGGCTAACAGTGTCTTTATCTGCACAGGAAGGTTGAGCCAGCACCCTGGAGGTCTCTGCCTCTGGTAGGAACAAAGATATCAAAACCCATCACTGAAATAGTTACGGCCCCCCTGCACCTTCAGATAACTCCTATGCTGATCTAGGCTGATGAGAGAGTTAATGAAACTTGAAAGAGAGACAGCGGGCAGGAAAGCACACCTGCAGGCACCCTGTCAAAGCTCTTTGGGGACTGCCTTCACTGGGAGGGCCATGGCAGGCTTGCAGCTGGGCTGGCAGGAACTGGGAGATGCAGAGGTGGTCTCTATGGTTAGTGTAGAAACCTGTCTGGGGAGAGCTTCCTGAAACTTTCTTCTTCGATTCTCTGACAGATGTGTGCACAGAGCACATCTTGGAGCTGTGGTGATGAGTAGTGATTGAATCAAGTAGTAAAAGTTGTTTCCCCATGAAACGAAATTTCCTTGGGTGTGAGTCGAGCTAGGCTGTAAATGAGGGCCTGTGCAACCTGAGAAGGGGAGGCTCTTTTACAAAACAACTAAAAAGTCAGCAATTATTCTGATACTTGAATAGATTGGAAAAATGCCTTCTAGAAATGTTGTTTATCAAGAGGGATTGTAGAGAAAAAACCAAGCAACCAACAACCTGATCACAGATAATTTATGGAAAAATAATAACAGAGTGAATATATTTTGCAGTTCTTAACAATGAACTGTATAACCACCGCTGGCTTGCAAACATGGATGAAGGCAGAATTTGGTCTTCTATGATGTACCTTCATTATCTTACCTCCATAAGCCACTGAGAGCAAAGAAGTCACAAACAAGTTTATGCTGGTAGCAGGGTCTTCAGTCAATACTGCTGAGACATCAAAGTCAAGTTCAAAGAAAGGAGCAAACAAAGGGAACAAGTACATTTGGTCAGGAAGCACGACTTCCTTTCGAATTAAGACATTAGCCTGGTGATTGAAAGATGTGTCCAATGTCTTTCCTTGGCCACCCAGGCAGAACACCATCATTGCTCTGGAGCAGCATCTGGGATGTTGCCTGACTCCCCCCATGCTAGGGAACAAGGACACAGGCAAAATGCAGACCAGTGCCTCAAAATCATTCTTTCCCAAACTGAAATATTTTTAACATGCTCTTTAAAAAATGAAACAGCAACCAACAGAAAAAACCAAACCCAATGCATTTTAAATAGATTTCTAGGAACAAGGGATTTTTTCTGTGCTTTGCCATCACACCTTTCTCAAATTATGACTGAGGTAAAAATACAAATAAATATGGCAGGAGTAAGAGGTGATGATTATGATGCTCCTGTCACAACCCTACACACTCTTTACTTATGTGCTTGATTGTGGGAGCTTGTGGGAGGGCTGATTGCCATTGACTTAGCTGGTCTGGATAAGGATCAAGATAACAAATACTGAGGAAAATTCTTCTGGCTTTTTTGACGGATCACTCTATGCTGCAGAATATTCGATGCTGTGCTTGCTCTCTGCTTTACCCTCAGCAGATTTGTTATTTTGCTCCTAACTACTAAGTCTGGCTCTTTCATTCAAGCTCTCATTTTTTTTCCAAACCAATCCAAGCTCTGGCTCTTTTACAATTTAGGCTTAGAGCTGTCACATAGGTCAGACTTGTGGGTGTTGAACCCTTGGGATTCTCTGCATAGAAAGCTGGAGGATTACAGGGCATTAGCTGGGAAACACCTCACACTCTGGTATTTTCTTTTATTTTTGCCCTGGCTCCTTTGCCTCTTCATTTTTAATTAGAGGCACATGTTGAAATGATAATTTAAATTCTTTTCAGAAATCAAAAGAATTCCCACTTACATTATTAAATTATAATTACACTGAAGAAAAAGGTTAATAGAAATTTGATCCAAATATCCACTCTCCATTAAATGAGAACTTGACTGAACCTGCTTTGCCTTCATTTTGGTAGGTTACTCTCGGTTTAAATGGACACAGGATGGCTATACACCTGTGCAAAGGGCCACTGCAAGGCCAGGAAGCTGTCACCAAGAGCATTTACACAGACCTGTCTCGGGATAGGTGTTGCCTGTCTGATGCTCAAGATGGAATTTACCAGATGCATAGGACTTCTCTTGGGCCTCTGAAAGATATGTGTTTCAGACAGCAAGCAGAGCACAGCCACATGGGGATATTTGTATGAGAAAGACATGTAGGAGGTGGCACTTTGCTTCAAAGGAAACCTAGCCAGTGCTGGTGGAGGGAAAATAATTAGGTTCCTGGGTACAGTATCCAAAGAAAGCCTCTTCCTTCGCTCAAGGTGAGCTCCACATGCATGCAGAAACATATGCAAATCAGCCTTGATCTACTAAGTCCTTCGCATTTTCAGTAAAATGAGAAAGCAGGGAAGAAACATTTTCCTCTGTATTAGCTCTTAGTGTGCCCATCAACAAGACAATTATTGCAGTAGTTTTACATGTTTAAAATGGGTTTTAAAGCAACCAAAGGTGTAGAGGGGAAAATGCCCACTCCTGCAGGCAAAGTCTCCGTAGTTCCTGGCACTGGGATAATGATCAGTTTAAACTTATCCAGGACTGGTGCAGTTACCACGTGAGCCTTACAAGGCAGGAGCTTTGCCTTGAAGAACTGTTGTAAGCTTGGTGTTTCTTTCTACCCCCCCCACCGCTTTTTTTTTTTTTTCCCCTTTTTCCTGTGCTGTAACAGGTTGCTTAAGCTGTGTGGCATGCCTCAAGTCAGGCCTTTCCCTCTTTCCACTTTGCACACCATCAAGTCCTGCAGTCCCCTCTCACATCTTGCACAAGCGTTTTTATGGTGTGAGCCTGCAGCTTCGGCACAGGCCAGTGCTCCCACAGACTTCCCCTTCTCTGTAATCCATGCTCAGCACTGGAGTCCTGCCTGCAGTAACTGCTGAGAAACTGCCTCGGGGCTGCCTCTCCCCAGCCCCCCTGGCATTTGGTTGAGAGCCCAAGCCACACGTGTGGGATAGATGTGAAATACAGGCAAAACGTGGAGGGGGCTGCTGCAAGCACTAGTCCCTTCTTACACCGAAAGCTGAAAGCACACAAGAAGGGACCTTTGCAGAGGGGGGAAAAAGGCCTTTTTGCTCCTTCTTTTCTGTGCACTGAATGGTGTGAAGGCTGGTTTATGACTGCAGCTGGGGGGACGAGGCAGGCTGCTGATGAAGTAGCAAAAAGGACTGGAAGGCACCTTTGAGGCTCAGCCCATGGCTACACTTCCATCATGGAGCTGGAGTATGCTCTCAAGAATATCAGTCTGATCTTCAAGGGCATCAACTTAGATTTCTGCAATTTATTTTCAAGCTACTAAATAAAATGCCTTTTTTTTTTTTTCCCGGCAGGTTGCATCTTCTTGTTAGTTTGTTTTGTTGGGAATTATTTTTATCTCTAGCCTTCCTAGGTCTGACTGTCACTCAGCACTTGAGCTGCATGAGGCTCTGCAGGTCTGCCCAATTATTTGCTGTGCAGCATAATGCACCAGGGCTTCAAAGTATATTCTCACCTCTCTTCTTTTAAGACAAGTGTGAAAAAACTTGTTCTACAGTGAGCACTGTGGGAGAAGGGTGGTTTTGCACAAAAGGTGCAGTAGGTCTCCCACTGACTGAAGCTGACCTGGACTTGGGTGTCACTAAACGTGTGCCTTGAGACCACAACATGCTCAGTACTTACTGTTTTGTGCTGTGTTCCTTCCACTTAGCAATCAATGAGGACGGAGGATTTTGAGGCTATCTATGGTGTACAAAACCCTATTCCTTACTTATTCAAGTGCACTGGGAAAAACCTTCTTGGCTTGACTATTGCCTTTAAAACCACCACCAAAACACTAAAGACAAACAAGACTAGGAGACCATATGGTTTAAGTAAAAAAGAACACACTTTATTTATCTACAAGGCAGTACATTGTTGTATAAAAAATTAAGTGCAGATGAAGCTGCACCAAATGCTATTAAGGCAGCAAATTCAAAGGCTGTTATAAAACAACAAAACAATAAAAAAATAAAATAAAATCAGTGTTTTGCCATATCAATAAAGAGTTGATATGGCAGTACAAAGAACCATGTATTTCTAAAAACCTGATTCAGTACACAAGACTCAAGTTAGGGAACAACTAGCTAGACATGGAACAAAAGAGACAACATGAACAAGACAGTGTTCTCCCAAACATATGAAGGTGCAATGCATGCTGTTACAAACCAATGAGAAACAAAACAACACATCCAGACAAAAAAAAAAAATCTCCCATGAACAGTGTTCAAAAATATTGCTTATAAAAAAAGGGGAAAAATATAAATGATGTAAAAAAAAATTAAAACAAAAAGGTCTGAAACGCTAGTGCATAGTCAATTAGCTAACATCAACATTTGTTTTCTTTCCATAAAGCTCTACTGCTCCTTTTACACTAGCAGCATGTCTACACGCTAAGGTCTGTAGCAGCAAAACACAGTATTCATTTGGCATTTACAAAATTAAATTACTGAATAAAAATATATTTTTTCTCATAAATCTATGTTTCATACAGTAATATTTTTTAAAGCAAGCTAATTACCCCCCCCAACAGAAACACACAATGTATAATGGTCTAGAACCAAAACAGAAAAGAGTATTTCAAGAGGCATGGATATTTGAGTATTCACAATCTTGATCAGTTTTCCCCTTTTGCACAGACAAGCGTTTATAGTAATGCTTTTCACTTCAGTATTTTACACCAATGCATTTTGTTCAGTGACTTAAAATATATCTGTTTGAGTACCTGCTCTTTTATTATTAAAGAAAAATAAAAAAAGAAACAAAACCCCACCCCTTGACTAGCACATCACTGAAATAACAATACTGGTGTATTAAGTCTGCTTGATCTCAAAAAGTACAAGAAAAATTGTCTTTATTATAAGTCTGCACTTAAGATCATTAATTACTGATTCAAATTCAATACCTAATAATTTAGGCAAGTATCATTAAAAAAAAAAAACAACTCTTAAGTTGGGTCAAATCCAACAAGAATATATATGCTGAGTGAGTAAATGCACTTTGTGCTGCTCCCAACTGTTGTACCACAACAAAGATAGGCTCTTCTCCCATTCATGAAAAGTTTTCATGCAGAGGAACAGGAATTTCCCAGCAGAGGTGAAGTGTTCTCAAAACCATAATGCTTCTCTATTCGTCAACCTTTTCACATCACCAGAGTCCGGGTGGGGAAGGTGGCCATGTACTTGCGTGCCTGATCTGTCAGAGCCATCTGATCTTCGATTTTCCCACAGGATGCTGACTCCCAGGCGTTGTTCAGATGCTAAATTAGAAAACAGAGAGATTTGAGTTACACGCCATGCGATTTATCCATAGTCCCAGCCAAAGCCAGGCCCGCTTCTAATTAACTGTTGCATGAACATGCAGAAGGATGTTGTCCCATCTCCAGAGAAACTGAAAACTCAAATCTCAACAAAACAAGCAAAAAAAAAAAAAAAATCACCTCTGCTCTTCAGTTAGTGATCACAGGGGCAGGCAGAGCAGATGACCTGCACAGGGGTGCAACACAAGAGTGAGGATCAAAACCTCTGTGCTTCTCTCTCACAGACAATGTCTTTTCTGTGAGGCAAATCTATAGCCTTGCCTTTAATCATTCCTTTATATGACAGGTCTAAAAGAGAATATACTTGGTAGGTGGACTTTACAGTCAACAGAGCACAGTCGGGCTAAAGCCCACAGTTACAATGTTCAGTGCTATGACCTTGCACAAATTCCTGCTGAACCTCTATTCTAGAAATACAACTGTTCTATCCTCGAGTTCCCTAAACAAACCCAACAACCTTGACCACAGCCAATGAAAATTCCCGTGCTCAAGGCTGCTTTCACCTGTGCACAGCGATTAGCACATGCCCACTAGCTCCGCTCCTCCAGCAAAGGAGAAGGGGAGGGGGGCTCGACTCTCAGCAGAAACAGCATTTTAATTATCATGTAAGCCATTTCGCTTCTTGTGGTATTTATGGAGGTTACAGACACCATTTAGTATAATGTTAAAGTGAGATAAACATATCTGCAGAGGGCTGTGCGCACTGTATTTATTTACTCACTACACATGTGAGACGTTTCTCATTGCCTTGAGCTACAAACAGTAATGAAATTTCAAAGCTCTTGGAATTTACCAGTATACACACACTTATTTTTTTTTTCTATTGAACTCTTTCACTTACCCATTGTGTCTGCTTTTCCACATTGAGATATTCCCTAAGCCCTGAATAACAACTCTATTATCACATAGAGTTTGCTGTATGAGTACTCTGCATGCCAGAAATGCACACAATTGTGCTTAACAGAAGGCTGCCAGCCCACAAGGGGTCCTGGTACTGCTGAATAGAAGGATCCTTAAATTATTTTCTGGCCTAAATGTTTAGAGAATGCTCTCCTGACTGTGAACACTGTTATCTGAGACATACAGATAGCAAAAGGCTGGGCAACATACGAAATATAGATACTTTCACATAACATGCCCTAGTCAGGGCACTGGTACAAACACAGGGACCGAGGTTCACTGCCTTGGAGGGCTTACAGTCTGAAGAGGGACCAAACCAGTGAATAGTGAAGCAGAATGGCCAAGATGAGGGAAAGCACGTTAGTCCTCTGTAAACTTCTGCTGGGCTTCCCTAGAGATGGCTTTCTCTTCTCTGTAGAGAAGTACCAAATATCATCTCTGCTCCTGATGCCATTTTGCAAGCAAAACTCCTGCTGAGCTTCTGTGGGAGTTCCCTATCTGAAGGAGAACCAGGTCAGACCTCAAATCATTAAGTTTCTGCAGCTTTTTATGGGAAAGCTGCATCTGCAAGGTGAACAAACATGCCACACACCTCTTTTCTAGAGCAGTTCAACGCAGGCTGGCTGTATACCCTGTGCTGTGGCTCAGACTAAGGCACATGCCACAGCCAGACAGCAGGTGTGACATACTTTCTGCATGCCGCAGACATGCATGCAACACGCCACAGCTTCTTTTATGTTTTGGTAAACAGCTTCCAGGGTAACTTTTTCAAAGGCACCTACATAAGCTGGGAACCAACAAGCTCCTATTGATCCTCAGTGGGACTCAGGCACCTGTGAATATTTTCCCCTACTCTTTTAGAGGTATTTGTATCAGGGACCAAATCAATGCCTGGTACGATGCCACTGGTGTTACTTAGAAGTTGAATTTGATCTGTACACCTCAAAAACAGTTGGTAGTTCCAGAATATCCGTCATTTTTACACGAATACGTGTCTGACAGGTACTTCCCTATGATCCCCCCAAAGCTTCAATACACTGGTCCAGAAATGAGAGATCAGCAGTCTCTTAAATAACTGAAAAATTGTAAGGAAAAGTCCATTTGTCACTGTACGTCAATTTTTAAAAAATAGAAGTAACTTCAGGCAAGGAGTGTCCCTATTTCCTAAATTAGGCTTAATCATTAATATCTACACTGGTTCTTTGTATTAGCAGCCATGTGCCTGGTAGAAAAAAAAATAATAAATCTGTATCCTGGTATCTCCAACATCTCAGCAGGCTGCTACATGTCACTCATTCCACTGAGAGCCTGGTCTTCATTTAACCTGATGTCATTGTGGCAGAAGCTGCTCAGGCAGGCAGTAACCCTCTGCCCTCCCACCGGGCTCGGCCACCGTGGGGAGCACTCAGAGGTAGTTACAGCAAGCAACAGGAGGACCAGCTCAACCCCACACTTGAGCCTGCTTCAAATGACTTCAGTTTTGCTGTAGGGATAGCATGGGAGAATATCCTCACACAGTTTTGACCCATGTATTAATTTTCTCAGAAATGCATTACACTAATTTTTTCCTCCTGTGACAAACTTATAAGAAGAGACTAACTTTGCATCTCAGTGAGAGCTTTGCTCTAGTGAAGAAAGCAGAATATGACCAAGAGTAATGTCTTCTGATGTAGCATATTTACTAAGACAGTTTTCAGTTCTACCCTGGGGAAGTCAGAGAACATTTACAGTGGGTATTTTTAATAAACATTTTCTGTCTAAAGTCTTGACTCTTGGCAGCCAACACAAACCAAAGCACAATGCCTTTGCCTTGCAAGCCCTGCAGTGCAGTGCCAGAGGCACGTGTGAAAGTCATCCTGACGCAAGAAGATTTCCTTCCCTCCTTGGCAGGGAATGCTGGATCCCACAACCCAGGCAGAGCACCTTGATGGGCCTGGTCACACACAGCTACGGGATCTCTTAGTAAAAAGGATAAAAAGGGATACCACAAGGACTCCTTCCATGCCAGGTTCGCAGCAAGTACTGACAGGGCTGATACAAGACAGTAGCAGTGCCTCAGAGAAAGCAGTGCTCCTCAAATGCATCACAAGAGACCCAGGGAGAAAGCAAGAGGCACATAGGAAAACAGCACAGAAACCCCTGTCAGAACACTCTTTTTGCAGAAAGCTCATTGCATCCTCCTGATCATGTTTAAAGTTTCAATTCTGCAAATCAGTGCATGGAAACACAAGAGCTTTGTAACCAGAAGTCAAAAGGCCTGATCCAAAACCCACCAGAACTGATGGACATGTGTTCATTGATTCAGTGGATTCACTCTACCTAAATTCAGTCATTTAAGAGTGAGGTGTTTGTTTTGGCACCTAAATTCCCAGACACTGGGGAGTGAAAGAGATTTCCACAGTAAATTCTTCCCATATACATAATTTTTAAATTGCCTCCAAGAGTAGCAGACTAGGTATAGTTTTGCTGTCAATTAGAAGAGTTTAAGCCTTTTCAGCCAGTACTTCCAGCTGTATTTTTCTCTTCTACACACAGCCATTTCTCCCCTTAAGTTAAATCAGGGAGTGGGGGGAAGAAAAAGGTATACAACTAAAAATTTCCACAGGATAAAATTACAGACCCATAGCACAATTCCAGCTACATAATTCTCCCTACCCCTTTTTTTTTTTCCCCTCTTTTTTTTTTTTTTCTTACTTCAATAATACTGCCAGCATATCCTTCTCCTGGCAGTAAAACTACCTTACTTATCCTGTAATATGCCTTCAACTGCCCTCAGGCAGACGTGAACTGTAAACAAACCGTCAAAGTTGTAACTGGGACATCCAGTTAAAGCACTTTAAATAAAAACTTGGACCACCTAAAGAAAACAAGACTGGAGTAAAAGAAGAAAAGATTGTGAAAAGGTGCTTTTCTAACAGAACTTGTCCTACTGCACTCGTAGCTGGGATCGCCTTTTCACATGCTGTCTCTAGAGCTTAAGAAAGCTCCTGTGTTACAACACCTTGTGTGTTAGGAACTGATGCCAAAACCAAACATCGCTGCAGTCCTGCAGTACTGAGCTCCAAAACTGATGAAAGTGCAGCAAAAATCCTTGGGCAAAGAACTGTGTTGGGAAACAGATTTTAAATCTCCACTTTGCTGGCAAGTATCTTCAGTAACTCCAGCAAAGTTAGTGGTTTTACACACATTCCCATTAATTTAGCCAAGCTGTGCTGGCATTTATAAAAACAACAACAACAACAATAACAACAGCAACAACAACAGATAGCTAAGATTTTTAAAATATTTAGAGGGCTCAAACTATTTGAAGGTCTCTTATCATGTTTTCCTGCTGCAAAAAGCTGGATTTCTTGCCATTTTTCCCTCAGATTGCATGGTATGGATAGTTTGCAGAACATACCACTGCCTGAAAAGAGTGCTTGGAACAGAAATGTAACACTCCTTCCAAAACAGTAAAACAGTGTCCTAAAAAAACCAATTTCTTAGCAGACTGCAATGAATATCATGTAGAATAACATGGCTTTCTGTTCTGTAAGGATGCAGTACCAAGAGCAGCCGTTTTACTTATCAATACCAGACAGTAAAGACTAATGAAAAACTCAAGTGATCATAAATGAATTCTACTTCATATGCCAAGACAGACCATTTCTGCTTGTGTTGCTAGTTCTCCCCTCGAGCATGGGACAGACTTCTCCTAAACTCTGGGGCTTTCCCAGTTGCTCAGAAATACAGCTTGCTAAATGTGACAGAAGAAGATGGTTCAACTTTACAGCTTTTATAAGCATGATACCAGAGCTAGAAAAAGCTATTTGACGGCACTGTTAAGAGCTTAACCCTGAAGCCCTTGCTCAGACAAAATTCCTGCTCAAGATGTGTGAACTTTCCAAGTAAGATTAATGGACGGGATATGGAAGTGGTCTAAGCATCTGCAGCTCACACTAGGATATTCAGTCCCTTTCCAATTTTGTCCTTAAATAATTTTTTTTTCCACAGATCAGAATACATTGCTGCAAATGGGTAATAGTTAAGTTGTCACTTTTGGTCTTTCTAAAAGTTCACCACCAGCTTAGGACAGCTCTATCTGATCTGTTTGCAATGCAAATTCTGCTGCCCTGGATGGAAAACATGCAATGACTGATCTGTAACTTCGAAGCTGCTCTTGCTCCCTCCCCTGTGCCAAGCACAGCTCTTTCCTGTACACATCAGTCACTGGTGAGAGAAGGGGCAACACAAGTGAGGGAAACCCATGGGACTACCTTCCCTTGCTGCGCAAATCTCAAACACAGCATGCTTCCCCCTCTCCCTTGATTAAACAAAGAAGAGTACTAGATTTCAGGGTCTTCCTGCCCCAGAAAAGCCATGGAGGAAAACAAGAGAAAGCCTGCTGTGGCAGGAGATGATGCTGCCTTCCTGGACATTTTATCTTACAACCAGCTGCAAATGAAATAACATTTCACTTTTTAAACTGAGAAAATTAAGCTTCATGACAGCTTACACTCTTGAAAAAAGGTTAACCAAGTAACTGTTTTAAAATCCTTTAAACTTACTCTTTAAAGAAAATGGTTACATAAACCGCTGAAAGTCAGGAAATTCGAGCTGAAACGTGTCAGTCTGTGGTTAAAAAATGGAAAGTGACAGGAGCTAGGGGTTGAAGAACGTTCTCTTTAGCTTGCAGGGCTTCTACCTTGTGTTGTTTCCTTTGTTACTGGGGGAAGAAGATATCAAAGCAGCGCTATTTTCTTAAAAGGTTCCATTTCATGGTGTCTTTTGATAGCCTGCAGGGTTAGGTGGAAGGTCTGTGATTTAGCCTACTTTTCTATCTGTTACAATGTCTGTGTTAGGATAATTTGTATTATGTACCGCTACTGTTACAGAACATAATGTGAAATAAAATCTAACTTTTACACAGGAAGGGCCAGAAACAGAGGTTTTTTATGTAACCTCTTACAAGGCACTATTCGAGCACATGCTCGGTGTTGGAGTAGGTTATCCCAAAATCTTAATCCTTGGAAAAGTTGCTCATAAGGCCAGAACCTCCCTGCCACATAAGTGACAAAAATATAGGATGCAAAAATACAGGTTTTAACTAACTCCACCAATATAAAGCAGAAGTATTTGGGATCTGTGCAATGGACTGTTAAGTCCATCCCAAGGAAACATGTGGGTTTGGGTGAGACACCGCCTGTTCCTGCTGGCAAGATAATATTTGATGTACAACCATGAGATTTGTTGAGTAGGACAAAAAAACTGGCTGAACCTTCACACCTTACCAGAAAGATCTTACACACAACTACCTTTACATCCAATGTCGGAGAGAGACTTAACCAGAGGACTGAATGGGAATCAAGCCCAAACTCTTCTTGGGTCTAAGAGGTCTTCTCCTCCCATTGCTCTAGTACAACATTGACACCACCATACTCCCAGTGCTGTTGTATGCAGCTACCTGACCTCACATGCCAAATTGTGCAACATGCTGTTCCTCCTAAGTGATCATGAATCATCTTGTGCTATCTGATGCGGTCATCAGCTATTATTTACTACATTGCATATGATCAGTTGTGTATCCAAAATGCAGGAAAAAATATCCTTGGAGATTTGTTTGAACATTTGTTACTCTTGCCTTCTTTGGAATTTAACAGCAAAACAATAAGTAATCAAGCATTTTGATTGGTTTATTGCTAGCCAAATATCTTTTTGTAAATGAAGAGCAAATTACGAAAGCAATGAAAAATACTGTGACCTGGTAAATATACTGCCTCCCTCTCATACAAGTTCAAATTTAAAAGAAAAGGGAGTTTTGAAACCCAAGCATATTAGAAAAATAAGTTCTGTGCTCTCTTTCTTTCTTTCTTCCCTCTTCACACACAGATCCCAAGGTGCAGAGAGTGCTATAATTCTTACTTGGACTGAAGACAATGAGTTTGCCTAAGAACAGTTGGATCAGGTCCAAAATATTAACAGCAGCAATGTCAACATACACAGACAAAATTAAGTTTCACCCAGAGGAGTTTCCTCGTGTTTCAAGTCAATTTGCATGGAATCAATGGATTTAGACCAGTGTTCACGTGTGTCCATGCATGTGCTCATGTATGAGGCAATATACTAAATTAGAAACTGGGAAGTGTAGAAAGAGTAAAACAAAACATGCTAAAAACTGATTACGTACAAAATGCAACTGATCAACATGCATAAACAATAACCTTCTCCATCGCTTTGCACCCTTTAGACATGCTATGTCCTCATCATACAAGTCCATTTGTGCTGGGGTGGAAGAGGAGAAGCATTAGGGACAGAGCAGCAGCAGTTTTTGGTGTGAAAAAGAGCTAGGCCACACGTCTTTACTGAGCCTCACGGGGCCAAATTTTTCCCCTCTGAAATGAAGTCAAGCAGTCTTACCATTACTTTTGATCATGATACCAAATCCAAGTCAGAGAGCGCAGCCATTGGCAGACAATACTGCATTATTATAAAAAGCCTGTATTTCGTTCTGAAAAAGCTGTCTCTGCCACCATCGCAGACACCCCTAGCCTTCATCTAAGATTATATTTCAGCTGAAAAGTTTAATGTTTCATCAGCAGAGAGAACAATTTTACCTTCATATTAGTACAACAAGAAACTGCATACTAAGTATTAATTTGGGGTCTTTTTACAACTACTTTTTCTTTCAGTTCAACACGCTTTAAACTCTGGGATGAGTTGGGAAGTCCTATTTAACTCAGTTCCAACTTAAGAAAAAGTCCTCTTTATCCAAACAATGAGAATACCTGACTTTTAACATGCTTTTCCTGAGAAAGGACTGAAGAATTGAATCCAGAATGATCCACAAATTGACTTGTGTAAACTTCCTGAACAAAATCAGCATGAGTGAGGACAGAAGGTTAAACAAGCCCTTTCATTTACAGCAGCTTATAAAGAAATTATTTTTAGATAGCAGGAAATATAACACTGTTACACCAAAGATCAAAGGATCCTATTTTACAGGCACCTCAGATGCTTCTTTTTTATTACAGCCAGAGTGCAGGCAACTACCACTAACAGGACAACACACAGAATATGCTGTTTAGCTACCTGAAAATGTTGCCCTAAACCTATGGAGTAGCCTGGAGTTTGGCTAGGGTCACAGGTCACAGTTGGCATGCTGGCAAGGCAGCAGAGCTGAGACAGATGTCCAGGAACTTCAGCAACTCCCTGCAAAGCTGGAGACCTCTGTTCCTTTGCCATGATGTGTCTAAATTCAGTCCCTATATACCTGCCCTAGACCAAGGGCAATGGATCTTCAAACCCTTCTCTCAGCCATCTACCACAGTGTAGTTAAAAAAATAGAGTTCATGAGAAAAGAGAAGATAAGCAATAGAGTATGAGTCTTTGGCCCCTACAGACACCCCTGTGCCGAGGGGAGACGTAGTCCCTGCTCTCCAAAGCTGTTTTTCATCAAATAAACCTGCAGCGCACAATACAAGCCTACTGCATGGCAAACCGTGCCAAACGGAGACGTGTAAAATTTTATTATCTCCCTTTTTAATGCCTGGGTAGAAATGTTTAATCAAAATCAGCCTTTGTTCATTCCTTCCTACTGTAAGTAAACCTTAATGTAAATTCTGGAAAGACGGAGGAAAGAAAGGATTATCATGTGGACTATCTGTCTGAAAGTCATGAACTACCGAGTTACAATTTCCTTTCTGACAGTGACTCACCCTGGGGAATGACACGCTTTCCTTTAATTCTCCCGCATGGAGAAGGGCTACAAAAATCACATTCATCTACCTCAAAAATAGGGGTTGTGGTGGAAGGATAATTAATCACTATCTACATTCTGTTTCATTTTCTGAATGACTTGTTGTGGGGCCCATCTAAAGTCCACAAGAGCTGACAAACCGGCTACTAATGACTTTGGTGGACTTTAGATTAGGTCTTATGTAACAGCTCTGTTCTAAAATGTAGCAAATGTAGACGTTTGTTAAGACTTGGAAAAAACATAGATAAGTAAAACTCAGCCTCACATCTGTCTTACATTACAACAATCACACATTTAATAAATTTCAGAGGTGCCCATATGTACAGCTGGCCATAAGGGTTAAAGGCTCTTTCAGACTGCCAGTTACAAATGCATTTCTGGACCAGCCTCAGCCAACACTCAGGGAAAGGTCACCCTGGTGCTGGCCTGGATGGGCAACACTGGCCACACCTGTGTCAGGCAGTGCTGGAGTCTTCTCCTCTCACACCTAGGCCAGTGACAAGTTCTGGCCACCACCAAACCAATCAACTCCCCTGCTCTCCAAAACAGCAGTGCTGCCTACAAGAAGTCCATAGAAAAAAGCCTCTGGCCCACATTAATTCTCAGTCCTACCAATTTAACGTTGCATCCCGCTGAGTTACAACACCCCACACATGGCGCTATGCCCCATTTAGCTTCCTGGCACAGCTGAAGCAACTGTGTCCTCACGTTCCACAGGTAAAGTGATATCCTCAGCCACATTCACCTGAACATCTCATTCTTCCATCCTCAAAACTTAAAATCAGTCTCTGAGAAAACAATATATATATGTGTATATATATATATATATTTATATGCAAAGGATATTTTTATCAAACAATAGTTACCTGCAGAGGACTAGCTAGTGGCCTGTTTCTAGGTGCTGCAACTGTTTTGTGAAAACTACCATCCTCTTCAGACACAGGCATCTTTAAAATGGAGCTGGTAAGAAGATTCTGAACAGGAAAAGAAAAAACAAACAAACAAACAAAAATGGTTTTCAGCAACTAACAGGAACAACCTGAATTCAGATGTGTTAAAAGCAAGCTCAGCCAGTCTGCAGAAGTTGTCACACTGGGTAGTCACAGATGGGGAGCAGATCTCAGCCTGGGGTCCCTGGGACTTGGCTTTGCAGGAGCATTGCCATGTCCAAAGCTTTTCCATCCAGCGAAACTTCCAAATGCAAGAATAACAGTAACACTGGATAGTCCCAGGAGTCCTGGCAAAGCAGAGGAAACCACTCTCATGCAAGGTCTCCTTTGCACAAACCAAGAGAGACTCGCTCTTTCTTTTACCAGTTTTTAACTGCACAATCTGGACATTTCTATACAAATGCAGGTGTCCTCCTAGAGCAGGCTCTTCCCGAAGTCTGTGGGCTGCAAAATGACTGCAACTTCTGATACCTTCTATAGGCAGTACAGTGATCTAATCAAGAGTGGGAGTTCACCTTTTATGTTTAGTGCAGGAAAATGATACAGAAATAATGAATAATGCCTGATTGCGAAGAAGGTCAGACAAAATATTTTCTCTCTTGCATATAAGAACTGAACAGGGATGTAGAACAAAAAAATTATTTGATGGTGTGAAAACTTACTGGCACATCTTCCATAGTAGACCCAGGTGTAAAGAGCTGAGTGTTCAGGTTTTCTCCTTCCCAGTGATTTGAGCAAAAAAAATTTCCAGCTTTATCTGTTGGAGACTCCACCTGAAAGCAAGAAAGGCATAATAACAACCAGTACCTAAGTGACCAGGAGATTTCTGTCAGTTGCTTAATAAATTGAATAAATATTCTTCACAGCTGTGTCTAATGCCTGTTTACAGTAACATCTTTTATAACACCCTTGCTCTTTGCAGAAGAAAAAAATTAGAGGTCCTCAAAAAAATCCCCATCTAAAAAAACTTTGAATACTTGCACTCAGTGCTCTGTCAGTATTCAGGAGTTTAATCCCCTAGAAAGGATTGAGAATATATGTATTTTTAGAACTTCAGTGACAAAGTAATATAATTCAATGTCCTCAAATGTTCAGGTTTCTAAGTCACTCCGTGGAGCTTGGTCCCCATGGGGTTCTTCTATATTTTTCACCAATATTTGAAAGATTCGATCCAAATTCCTATCTAATTTTTCTTTTCTTTTTAAGTTTCAAACGAAAACTGCATTAGAACAGCCCAAGCAAACCCCTGCTGAAAACAGCAGAAAGACTTCTATGGAAATCAATGGGAGATGAATTAGGCGTGCCTAGTATACTATATGGAACCGACACTAAGATCTCGGGGCTCACATGAAAGAAAAACAGAGCACAGCTATTTAACAGAAAAGGTATTCGTGTAAGTTTCTCAGAAAGAGTTCTGAATTAAATTGCCTCAGGTAAGTTTGAGATTTACCTCTTGTTTGATTTTCTTCAGCAAAGGGGGTCCACTTTCATGTAGCCCAGCCACCATTGCAGATTCCTCCGACTCCTGCTTGATAACATCCTGCAGATCTTCTACAAGATGAGTCGGAGTTTGAGGCTGAAAGGAAGAAACGTTATATCCAAGTCCCAGAACATCCCTCTGCGCTAATATCAAAGCAACTTTTATCATTGTTTCCTGCTTACCAGCATCTTCAAAGGACCGTATTTGATTTCCTGAGCTGCAAGTGCGTTTTTGAATGGAGTGGGTGTTCTTGGAGAGCTTTCTAATATCGACCTCTTGATTGCTGGAGTTCTGAAACTTTGAAAAGAGGGAGAGGAACTTTAAAGGAAGATGCTTGGAAATACTACCTCTTTATAGAAATATGTGCATACAGGCAGTGGCTGTTGTAAGACTTGGGGAAATATTTCCCTGCAAGCCTATAATCCATTTCGCTTTTCTGGCAGAACATTTATTTTACTCTGATAAGGTGTAATGGCTTTATTTTAAAAACTGGTCAGCCTATATGCATGACTGTACTGTATAAATAACCTACCACCACAGTCATGAAGCGGAAGTTTTACTCCAAACTAAGAAAAATCTGAATCTGTTAGCAAACAACTCTGGGAGAAGCATAGAATCATAGAATGGCTTAGGTTGGAAGGGACCTTCAATATCATAGAATCATAGAATCAACCAGGTTGGAAAAGACCTCTGAGATCATCAAGTCCAACCCTTACCATCTAGTTTTAAACTCCCTGCCACAGGCAGTGACACCTTCCCCTAGATCAGGTTGTCCTGGGCTTCATCCACCCTGGCCTAGGACACATCCAGGGATGAGGCAGCCACAGCTTCTCTGGGCAACCTGTTTCACTGCCTCACCACTCTCTCAGCAAAGAATTTTTTCCCTGTATCTGGTCTAAACCTGCCCTCTTTCAGACTGAAGCAAACACTGACCCAGCACTTTGGTTGTATGCAAACCTGAAGAAATGAACCCTCATGAGTCCAACACGACAACAGACTTACACATGGTTTTCCTTCTGAGCTTTGAAAGTTTGCTCCCTGTGGAACGGGGCGGTACCTGCCGTCTTATGGCCACATACTGGTGTGGAAGTGAGTGCAGGGTTGTCCAGGTTCAAGTTTTCATGATTGGATGAGGTGTTTAAGAACTGCAGGTTGGGAAAGAAAAAATTAACAGGAATATCCAGATTACACAGTTGACTTGTTAAGATGACACCGTTGAACAAAAGAAAAAGAAATTCTTTTCTTCTGATTGACATGAGTCACTGTCCTGGCCCTTTGATGCGAGGAGGTGTATCTGGGATACCTGACTACACTGTGACAAAATACTCAACAGTTTGGCTGGAGCACTTAGGAAGCCAAACCACGCAATTCTAGCGAGGAAAGTTCTAAAGAAAATGACACTCGGTTCCAATGAGAAACACTTTCTACCACTCTAAGAGACAAATCTTAAAAGCTTGATTTGGATTTTCTCCAAATAAATTTTAATTAAGAGCAGTGTGCCCAAGTAAGAACTGGGTGAAAATGAGTAAAGGGATGTTTCAGAAACAAACCCAGGGTTTATTCCACAGGGTTAAATTCCACAAAGATTTACATGGGGAATCTAGGGGCTTTTAAAGCAGTAAATGAAGTGTTTATGACAGGAAAATAAATTTCCTATCATCTCTCTCAAAACAAAATGTTTTGTTTTCACAGCATAAAATAAGAACTGCCACCTGTGATGGGTGAGTGGAGTGTTTTGGAATAGAAACAGCTAACTGAAAACGAGGCAGCAGTATTTGTTTGGATAAAATTGCCCTTGCATGTTTCTACCTAGTAACCTAAAATATTGTTTCTATTTCTAGCATCTACAAATCTGTGAGCATAGTGATATCCTCTACTCTAATAAGAATTCAATGTATTACCTTCTAGACTCAACTTGCCACTTTATAAAAATGTGGTGTCTAAGAAAATCCTTCTTTCACTGGATAAATGACATGGGATTATAATACCTAGCAGGTAACAGGAAATAAGTGGGAGATCATTACATTAAATCTTTTGCTATCCTTTATGAAATAGTGTTTCTTTGACTTCAAAGACTAAAGCAAAACCAAGGCAAAACAACACAAACAGACAAACAAAAAATCCAAAACACTTTTAAATAGTGCTACAGCTGTGAAACAAAGCAACCATTATCAGGAATTTGGAAATGCATGCCAAGCCATTTTAACAGGCCATTTTCCTCCTCATTCCTATTCCACTCCAACCCACATGGCCTGGGCTGAGGACGGCAAGTGTGATTTGAATTTTCTGGTTGTTGTCCGTTTGTCTCACAACCTGAATGCTATTTAAATGCAGTTTGGGGTTTTCAAGGTCAATGAATCATACTGTAAGTGGACAGAGATGGAAAGTATTACAAATGATCAGAAATGTTAAACTCTAGTAGTTAGAGTTAGCAGCAAGAGCAAAGCAAGGCATCTCATTCCCCTAAAGAAATGATCCAAAAAGGAAAAAAAAAAAACACAAAAAACCAAGCCCCACAGATGAATTTAGAAGAGAAAGAGAAAGAAAAGAAGAGAATCAACAGTTAGCTTGCTGATTAACTAAACTCAGTGGTGAAGACTAAGAGCAGTGAGAAGATTCAAACACGGAGTGAAAATCAACAAGCACAACGGTAATTAGTCATTTGTTCCAAAGGATTAGTTTCTAAATTGTTAAGACTGGGGTGACTTTTGAGAATTTAGTAACATCTGTGCAGAAGTCTTGATCTACCTGCGAGGGAGAGAAGGGCAGGCTTTTGACAGGGGAGCGCTTAGGAGGAGTTGAGCTGCTGACGTCAGCTAGGACCAAGGTGCTACCGTGGCCACTGGCTAAGGGGCTGGAGTGCCCTCTCCTTTTGCGAAGAAGGACCCACGGAGCCGCACTGCCCTGTGAGGCAGATAAGGTCTTTGGTGAGCTGAGAGAGCCCTGACTTGACATGACTAGACATGCCTCAAATTTGACATGGCTCAAATTTGTGATGGGGTATTCTTGAGGTCTACAAGAACTGGCCTCTCTTTGCTGAAGCTGTGCAACTTTGCCTGAGGGAGCTCTGATAGCTAAAGTTTCTGTGTCTTCAAAGAATTCAAAACTGCTGAGATCACCCCATGATGAAGGATTCTGAAACAACGTGGGAGGCACGGAGGTATAAGACAGTGTATAGTGCCACCTCATGAAAATACAGCGCTAGGATATGCCTGTAACCAATAACAAGTAGTTCCCAGTTCAATTCAGCCTGACCCTGTTTATGTGAGTAGAAGACTGTGTTTTCAATACATACCTTGATCACATCAAACTGTCTAACATTCTAATAGTGTTGCTGGCAACTGAGTCTCTAAAGAATGAGTCACATTATGTCCTCATTATCTATTTGCCCAGTGTTTTCTGCTTGGTATGAAGATGGTGCCTTTCGCTAGCAAAACGTGCTCTAAACAAAAACTCCTAACCTGCAAGCCTGCTCTGGATGTGCTGAAAGGGACACGATGCCACATGAAGCAGACACCTCTGCTGCTGAAGGATGTTGCCACCAACAAACATATTTCAATGTGCTACTTCAGTACGTGTATCACCCCAGAGAAACAACAAGAAAAGGCCCATGTCAATGTCAGTCAGATACTTGGCATTTCAATATGTGTTTACAGTCCTTCACATATGCCAGGTCAAGATCCTTAAACTTTGAGAACCAGCTACTGAAGCTAACAGCCACACATAAACCTACGGCATGTATCACTTCAAATATAAATAAGTATCATTTCCTCGTTTAAAATCTTTCACAGTGTCTCTGATTTTATTTTAAGGAGACCTAATGTTGAGAGATCGTTTCAAGCTCCTACTGTACAGCTTGCCAAAAGTCATGTTCCCACACCAAGGTGTAGCAGGAAAGGGAGACACCCACAAAAAGCATACGCATCCATGCTCGAGGGCTTCATTTACGAGCAGCTATATTTTGTTATGTCAGGAGATAAGCTTCAGATCCTGGAGCAACTAGAAATTACTCGAAAAAAAACAACAAACACATTTAGGACAGTCCCAGCTCCTCTCCCCTTACTCTTTGACCATGCACAAATCCACCTGAGGTGGCAAGTCTACTTACGGAGTCTAATAAGTGGAGTGTTTCTGCAAATTCTAAGAGATTCTTAACATTATCCAGGATGTTGCTCTGGTGAACAATCATGCACCGTGCAGGGGATGCACTTTCCTCAGGTAAGCAACCGTGATCCACCGGTGGAGATGGAGTACAGTGGTGATGTTCCCCCAAACAGGAAACAGGTGCACTGTCACCACTGGTCCTGCTACTGTCAGCAATTGTGGTGCTGTGCCAGCCTGTGTAGTTTGATGTGTGGTTCTGTGTCTAGAGGAAGAAGGAAAAAAAAAAAAAAGAAAAGGGAGGGGGGAAAGGCAGAAGGAACTTAGCGATGAAATTGCACAAGGTGTCAGATGCCACTGGAAGAAAGATAACAGTTGCATCATCATCTAAAAGCTTATGCCTATGAAACATTTGTCAAGATGTTTCCTTTCATCAGTGCAAGACCTTGCTTTAAGTAATATTAGCATTGTATTTGTTATCCCAAAGTTACCTTGTAATTCAATTCCAGGATTATAGGCATATATCATTACTAATACATTATCAATTCAATCTGTGTTCCACCAAGAGCTCAAAAAATGTCTGCAAGTCGTTTTCTGTCAGGAGCAAGAAACAGTAGGATTTCCCTACTGAGTGTTCAGCACTGTAGAAGGCTAAAGGGTTTAAGAGTTAGAGTTGCTTTTGTCTGCTTATCTCCTTGTCTTCTGCTATCCCTGTCTAATGCTACAGCTTACACCAATGCAATGAAGAGGCTGTCAAATCAATGTGGTTAGGAAAGCAGAAGAGCAAACTAACAGAAGTTTCTTTCCAGTGTGATCATGCAACAGAAGAAATTGCAAAACATTAACTAAAGTTAAAAAGTGGCCAAACTAACGTATCATGCATGCAGCTGTTTTACTATTAATTTCAATATTACCCAAAAAAAAGGAAAAAAAAAGGAAAAAAAAAAAAGAATCTGCTGGCTATCACCTATCTTCAAGAACGATTTTGGGATTCTTGGCTTTGGTGATGGTGTTAAGTAATGACGTAAGGGTTTTCACACATTAACATCCAATGGCATATACAACGAAGAGTGAGAATTCAGTAATAGCCAGCACTTGCTCCACACATGCAGTTATGAAGAATCTAACATTATTTGGAGTAAAACAAACTGTCAAACATGCACCAAGTCCGAAGCTTACAAAGTGTAAAAAACACAGCTGAAGGAAAGAATACAACAGAGAAGAAAAATCTAATGCACAGGCACTACATTTTCATCACATGAACCATTGCACACTTTTGGAAATGCAGACCTCATTGATCAAAGATCTGTAGGATTTTTGATTTTTGTACAATCGTTATGCTTCCAATACTACATCATGTTACAGACCCCAGTCCTGCTCCCACTTTACAAAGTAAAATACCTGCAAATTGTTTGTTTTTAATAGAAGAATTTATGAAGCAAACGTAGATTATATGTGTGCTATGTTTCATTGTTTCAAAACAGAAATATAGAGCCTTGATTAGTACTGAAGGCAGAAGGGGAGTAAAAAGTTAAAAAGACAAGCACTGGGGTAAGGCTGCTATCCCTCCATCCAAGCACACGGTGACAATCTTACTGGTAATGCCTGCTGCCCTTTCAGTTCATTCTCAGTCGACATTAGTAGCAACTCTAATTCCTTTATTCGTTTTTCTTTCTCAGGGTCTTCATCATTATAGTGTCTCTGAAATTAAGAGTTAAGGGAAAAGAAAAGATAAAGGTCTGATAGGATGTAGCAACTGCAATGCTTATGGCTTGCCGACCTGTGGTTATAACAGCCAAATTAGATTCAAAGATGAAAAAGCATCAATTGTGCTTTCCACTACCAAAGTCCCTGCTGAATTTCAGTATAGACATTTGAAATGGAGAAAGTGAAAGCTATCACACCAGATGTCAACTACCGTGTTTTAAATCCACTTCAGAAGGAGCAATTATTTGCCATGTTAGACCTCCCCCACCTTCCCCATTTTCTCTTTTCACCGCACTTAATACATTAGAATGCTTCCTTAATATACGATATCTGCATTTACATTTATCAAATATTGAAGAAATTAACTCTTGAAATGAGGCTTAAGTTATCTACCTGGATAGCTGCAGCAGCTGGCTGAGGAACATTGACAATATTTACATGCAGTGCTACTGGATATGGGATCTGACCAGGAACCTAGGCCAAAAAGCAAAAGACACTAAAAGTTAATACTTCTATCCTATTATCTGCTTGCACTGTGAATTTGTGTTAAACATACTTTGGTTTTAGGTACTTAATATTTACAATCTATGGAGATGAAATAGCAAAAAACCTAACAATGTTTACAAGAAAAGTAAACAGTTTTTCAGGAATATGAGAGTAAGCATTACAGAGGAAGAAAGAAAATTCATATATGAAATATTTACCCTTCCTGAATGAGAAAAGATGAATAATTTATAGACGCATTTGTACGGATTTTCTAAACTGAAGTGAAAAAAGCAAAAGATGCAATTTATTATCATCTAAAACTACAATGCAAATGTCTGAAGCAGGAGCCCGTTTCATTATTAATCATTAATTGAAAAGGAATCTGATTAAAAACAATACTTGTTTACTTGGTTCCAACAGGCAACCCACAAACAGAATATTACTGAAGGGAACGTGGGAGACTTCGACATACAGCACAGAGCTAGCCAGATTCAACTGATTTTCAAGAAATTTAATATTCACCACACTAAGAAATATGTTAACTTCTTATAAGGCATTAAAATCACTGTACCCAATTCCAATTCCTGAATCCCATCCATTTGAAATGTACATATTTTCATCACTGACTGAAGTAAAAGTCAAAGAAGTTCTCATCTGACATCAACCACATAAAAGACTGGGAGAACAGCTTTCATGATCCTCAAAACCAGGTACAGCTAAATTGCACCCACCTATTCAACAAAGCAAAACAACCACCCCCAGCACATCTTCTGGCACTCACGTTTTGTGGCTCAGAGATGTGGTAGTAGGGGTAGTCACTGCTCAGCGGGGGCTGACCAGCTACTGGCAGCTGGGCAGATGGCGATGGGTTGTGAGCAAAGGCCATCAAGTGGTTGCTCTTCTGAAAGCCAGCAGCTGCTGAGGAGTGACAGGCTTTGGAGGACTCCTGCAGGTAGCCCTCCTGCTCAACCTTTCGGCGCATGGTGGAATTCCAGTGGTTCTTGATAGCATTATCAGTTCTGCAACAGAAATACATACATTTGAGGAGCTTCAAAAATGAGCATTTCCTATTCAGACAGGTCAATAGGCAGGGAACTGCTGTTGGTATTTCTATTTAAACCCTGAGCTCTTCTCTGACCTTCCTCCTTTCCCCCCCATTACAAATTCTACTCTCAACTTCTTGGGAAAGAGGCTCAGTGCAAAAGTTAGTGGAAAAATAAATATGGGCTAAGGTTTTTTATGTACTTTTTAAAAGCAATCTCTATGCCTTACATCCTCAAACTGTAAGAAATTCAGCTTCACCTCATTCCCATGAGATGAGGTGAAGCAAATGCTAACATTCCTTTGAGGCTAACCTAAAGGATGCCAACATCATCCTTCTAGGTGTTAATATTTCAGTGGAGTCTTATGGTATCTCACTGCTGGAAAGAAAGGCTGTGGAGAACAGCTGTGAAAAGACAAACTTTCAAGCAACTTTTCAGAAGGCAACCTAGACAATGACAATACCATGCTGTACATAAAAATTCGGTAAACAAAGATGTTGGGATTTTTCTTAGATGCAGAAAAACCGAGACTCAAATTCTCACATACATGAGTCAGAAAAAGCAAACTTACCAAGCCTGTGAGATTTTAAGAGTATGCTTAGAAACAGCTCCTCTATTTGAAAAACATCACCACCACACAGTATCATTGAAAGCAGTATCTGTGATGTGTGGAAGCTACAAAAATATTTCAAAGGGCTAATTTCTTTCTTGTTTTCTTCTAGAAGGTGAAAGTAGCCTAGCTAATGCCCACTTAAAAGGCTATCATGACTTTAGGCATTAGATTTAGATCTTGAAGATGTTTTACCAAATAGCAGGAATAAAAGTAAGAAGGGAAACCTCTTTCTTGCTTACATTAGGTACATTATTTCCTCACCTACATTTTGAGTCACTTTTAATCACAATGAATAAGACACTGAATCTTTGAAATTAAATGCAAGCTGTGCCTAAGCTTTCAACAAGACAAATATTTCCAGGACCAGTGTTTGTGGAAGTCAGTTTCTCCTGTTTCATACATCAGTTTTTAACAGGTTGAAATCATCTGGATGATTCAGGAGCAATTACAAAAGTTGAAGCAGCCTTCTCTTAAATCATTTTCAATATAGAGACTGGATTTCATGTTGAAGGCATACCCTTCACTGAACATAAATTATGTTCCCCTTGCAGAGCCTGATCCTTTAAATCTGAACCTTTAAATTTTGAGTCATCACAGGCAGAAATAAGACTGCATGGACATTTAGGAAGCTGTTATGGTCTTGCTCTAGTTACAGGGTCTTTTTACCTATGACAAACATTAAAAGAATGTAAAAATAGCATACTGTTCCATGTACTGACCAAACAGCGCAGTTCCCCACTGAGAAAAATGCACATCAGTGTCACTGGCTTCCCAGGTTTTGATTCCAAAATCTTTCGATTTACAAAGTGCAGCCTGAGGAGACCGAAACAGACTGCTCAGACCTGCAGCTTTTTCCTTTTTTCCTATTTAAGAGCTAGAGGTATATGTCATTACCGTCCAGGCAGCAACTTTGCAATCTCTGCCCATCTGTTTCCCAGCCTCTTGTGTGCCTGGTAAATAATTCTATCTTCCTCTTCTGTCCAGGAGGTTTTCTTCACTTCTGGGTTCAAATGGTTGTGCCACCTCTCCCTGCACTGTTTTCCAATCCTTCCCTTCAAATGCTTAGCAATGACAGACCAGCGCTTTGGACCGTATTTCTGCACGAGCTCTATAACCTTCAAAGAAGGACATAAAAACTGCCTGTATTTAATGATGCATAATTATCAATGAACTTTTTTCTGTGGTGGAGCAGTATTTTCAACAACATTTCTCAAAATTGCCACAGCAAAACTAACAGACAATTAAGGCTCCCCACTTCCCATTCCTACTTTTACCCAAAAGGAAAAAATCTGGTAATAGTTAAGGCATTTCTAGACTGCAATTCTACAATACAGTGCTGTAAAGCAACATTAATTTATTTGCATAGCAAACTTAGAAAGAACTGCACAAATACAGTCTGCCTCTGGCCACAGTAGCATTGAGACCACCAAAGTTTCCAGGAGTTTTGCCCCAAATAATAAAATCTGCTAGTAAGGCATTAATCAGACAGAAAGGAAAACTGATTACCCTTTGATCCTCTTCTTTAGTCCATGGACCTTTAATAAGTTCTGGGTTTAGTACCTTCTGCCATCGGTGCTGGCACTGCACATCCGTCCGATTCTAGTGAAAAGTAAAATACACAAAGTGGATAATTCTTTAGACAAGATGAATGTAGAGTGAGAACGCTCTTATTCAGGTACACTTGTTCCCAACACATTTCACTGCTAACTATGACTACCAAAAAACATGGAGTGATACAGTAAGTCTGAGAAAAAGGTGCTCAACTATCAGTTTGCTCACTGAATAGATGGACTTCCATTGCTTCTGCAGTGAGGACTGTATCACCCAAACTACACAAACTTAATCTTCCTCATCTGCACAATAGCTGGCATGCTTTCCTATACAATTTCAGCAACAGCCAAAGTGTTCACAAAGCAGTGATCTTCAAAACCATACTTACAATTCACCAAAGCAATTTTTTTTTCATTGTGCTGAGACATTTTGTTTCAGTGTCACATTGAGAATCTACTGTGCAAGACCCCACCACCCTCCATTTCTGCTTGTTCAATTTTTTTCCAACCCTTTCTGAGAAGTGAAAAGAAAAAAAAAATCTCCTGCAAAAATGTAACTATAAAGCAACCACTCCCCTTCCCCTCTATGAGGGAAACATCTGATAAAGAGTTGTCACTAGGCCTGGAAGCAGAAACCCATATCCACTTACAGGAAGGAAATTAGCAATGACTTTCCAGTCTTCTGTGCCATTCTGCTCCACAAGCTTCTTCAGTTTCTCATCCTGAATCATTAAAAGACCAGACATAATTAATACTGCCATCTCTTATAATGCAAAAGAAATAATTTATTGTTTTAATTTGTCTTTCTAGCTTTTTGTGCATCTACTTCTACTTCCTCAGTGTACCAGAGGGTGGTCTGGTGTTCGAATTGAATACTTTCAATTGCCTAAAACAGGAGATTTTTCTACTCCAGTGGATTTTGGAAGGTTCTTCACTGTGCTGCAGGAGAAAGACTGACTTCTGTACGGTTCTTTGAGTTACATTATACATTCCCATTTTACCGCTCAAAGCACTGTAACTGTTACTCTTGGTTTGGACTTAGAACAGGGTATGGATGTTCAGATGTCAGGCATCAGAATAACAATGCAATTCAGTAACACTCAGGCACCCAGATACCTGCGTACATCCAAAAATCATAGCCTTAACCTTCATGTCTTGCAAGTAATGGGAGTCCCCGTAATTTGCTCATGACCTATCCATGTACAATGAATGCACGGTAAAACTAATGGCTTCTTTAAGCTCCCATTCTCTGTGAGGGAGTTTTGCACACTTGCAATAGCAAGAAATTTGGCCCAGTATTTTTAATGATAAGGCCAGAAAGGTAGACCCTAAAGACAAAATAAACCAATCTCATGTACTGGGAAAGATTGAGACAGCGTAAAACAAATGAGAAATGCCCCAAGAGATAAGAGGAGGAAAATAACGCTCTCCTTCCCCAGTTAGCACTTCCCAGTATGCTCACAGTTCACGTGACAGGACAATGGCCATTCCTTCCTCCAGGGCCATATTACAACCATGTCCACCTTTGTAAGAGCAGATTATGGTTTTTAAAAAAAGAAAGTCAAAAAAAAAGCCTTGCAAGAGGTGACCAGCCACTATTTATATACCAATATACACTGTTAGAGAGGAAAAGTCAAAACATAACTCAAGAACTGCATTAATGTATTTCACAATAAACTCGAACCAGTTAAATAAATGGCCAAAGGATACCCATCTGGCAAAGGAGTCTGATACCACAATTTTCCCAGACAATCAGCTCAAGGGTATCATGACTAAAACATATTCTGACCTTCAAAAGCAAAACACATCTTGAATGCTCAATTTGGATACTGCTGGATTTCCTTCCAGCTTTTAAATTATTTCCACTTGGAATCATAATGGTGCAATTAAAGTGCAAATTTTAAATGGCAGAGAAGGACTGCAGTAGTTTCTGCCACAGTTGTTTGCTGCTGTGGGACACTGAACTCACGTCAGTTCTCTCATAGCAACCATCTTCAAACAAAAAGAGCCATGTAGTAACAATCAAGTACTGCTACAGGTGACTCTGAACCTGTTTCTACGAGAAGGATTACACAGAGACCCACATATCACAAACCTGTAACACAGAGCTTGTAAGAATATAAAAATTGTATTTATACATTTTATTTAAAATGTAAGAACAATTCTCTAAGTTAAATAAAGGACTACATGTAGCTAATGGGTCAAAAAAGCTGTCCTCATTGATACACATGGGATCGTCACTGAAGTTAGTTTGCAGATAAGCATGAAGAACACGAAGCAACTCGGAGAGGAATGTCATCCATGCTCTCTATCTTTTTTAGGTGCATGAGAAGAATGAACTTGGATTTACCTCTTCCCGGGTCCACCTGGTTTTTCCTAAGTGACGTTTTCCAGTCTTAGGGAGCAGGCCATCATAATCGTGATCATACATTTCAACATCTTCATCATCATCATCACTACTATATATACTGCAGAAAGTAACACAGGGAGACAGAGTGGAACATGAGGATTTGAGCTGCTTAATTACAAAGCACAAAAAAAACCCCAGTACAATCCTTACAAAGGTTACACAGATAAAAGTTTTAAAACTCGCACAACAAGATTTTGTTCTGCATTCTGTTGTTCTAGTATTCTGAACTGGTTCTGCTGTTTTTGGTATCCACAGATACAGCAAAGGGCTGGCAACCTTCGTATTACTCTGCATGTTTAGACCTGCTCTTAATGTTAGATCAGTGGTGAATTACACATTTGGCAAACTTTCAACCAATGAAGGTTTCAAATTAAAGCACAATGTTTGGGACAATAAAGAGAACTAGAGGCTATGTCCAGTACAGAAGCACGTGTTTAAGATCTTTAATTCATGCTATACGTTCTGAAAAATATTAGTAGTTTTGTATGTTTTATACAGCAGATATTTATACTGTTCCATAATAAAACAGACTGTGTACAAATACAAAAAGTTAAACAATAATAACCTTGTTTGAGAAAAGGGTATGCAAAGGCAAAAGTTTTTACGATTAGGTAAAGACAGAAAGTGGCAGCATTAACATGCAATAAGCTCTCATATAAAATGTGCCTTCCATTTGTAGGTCTGGACAGATGAGGACTGAGCACAAGTATGTTTAATATCTTGCAATCAACGAATGATTGGACCCTTTCATACCCTCCATTTCTCTAACTTAATACTTTATTACCTCTATTCTATTCCTAAATCCCTCACACTGTTTTTGAAATACTCTGCTTCTAACCTAATTCATGACTAAGGGATTTCCCCAGAGGCTATCTATGGGTAAAAAGGACTCCATTACTCTTTTCACAAATGGCACTTGCTCTACCTAGCTAAATAAAACTAAAAGAGAATGTTTTGCAACAGGAGGTGCCTTTCTGGTGGACAGTATTTTATTTTTAACTTTTAAGGTATAAGCAGCAGTTCTGATACTTCAACTAAGAGATGTTAGCCACGAGTGCTAGAAAGGAGTCAATGTCATGCTGCGAGACTAAAATCTGTGATATATCTGATGGTATGGCATGCTGTGGTATGTTCAGGTATGAGTAAGACATTAAAAGAAAGTTATTTTGTAATAAAATTACCAGGCATTCTTTATGCTGCTAACCTGTTTTCAGGAGATTACTTTAAATTAAGTTGCAGTGAAGCACAGAGACTGTTAGTCAAGATGCAAACAATCCCAAAACACAAGCTGTTGAACATACATTCTTTTAAAATGCTGGGCTAATCACACCGTACATCTTCCACCCTGTTTTCTGGCCTGTGGCATGTGCCATGAAAACTATGCTACGTGTAAGAAGTTTTCCACAGCCTGCCGTGATGCGCATGGCTTTCCCCTAGTCTCTGCCAGCTGGCCCCTGACTCACTCACCCAGCCCATCGCCGGCACTCTCAACTCGCCCCCACCACGCTGTAGTCCTGCAGCCCCACGGCTCGCTCCCTGTTCCCCAGCCCACGCAACCACTTGGGGTAAGCCCTGACTGAAGCTCCCACTCCGCACGCACCCCTCGTTGGCAGCTGGAGCCTCTCGTGCTTGAGCAAAGCTCCCACGCTCCAGCTGCCACCAGTGCAGGCTCCGTCCCCAGCCGCCGCTCAAACTGCATTCGCTTTTCTCAATGACACACAGAGACAGCTGCGCCACTGCCCATATGCCAAAGGAAGTTTTGTGGCTCAATTTCCAAGTATCATTTTGAAAATGAGTTTCGTAGACAGCAACCACCAGGTACGCATCCACTGGCGGCGCTTCCTGCGCGGCGGGGCCGTGCGGGCAGCACAGGGAAGCGCCGCTCTGCAGCGGGAGCACAGCATCAGCGGCGAACATGTTAAAGGACTTCAGTGCGGGGTCAGTACTGTAACAGATTTATTTAAATAACCGGGGCCTCGCTGGCACCGCAGAACCGAGCAAACCCCACTGTACTACCTGTGTTCTCCAGCAGAAGAAATGAGCCCTTTTTCGGGACTTCGGGACGCTCGGTAGCTTCTTCAGCCAACCGGTCCCTCAACAGTGCTCTAAAACTTTATTTTGCACCTCTGGTCGCAGGCCCGAAGCCTCCACCCGGGCGGCGAGGCACGGATGGCAGGGCACGGCATGGCATGACACGGCGCTCCGCCCGGCCGGGACAGCGCATTGGATCCCCCCGCCCGCCCCAGCAGCGCTGCGCTGTTCGCCCGGGCAACGGGCTTGTGCAACGGAGAAAAGAATGGGGAATAAAAAAGGAGGGGGGGGGAAAGAAAGAAAGAAAGAAAACAGGACGTGTAAAGGAAATGACCGCCGCTGCTACCGCGATTGAAGAAATGCGGGCACCAGCCCCGCGGGGCAGAGCCCGCGCCCGCTCCCGCCGGGGCGGCCCCCTGGGCGCCGCGCCGGCGGATCAGGCGGACACCGCGCAGCCCCTGCCTTCCAGCCCGGGGCGGCGGAGCGCCGTGTCCCTGCGGGAGGCGCCCGCGAGGCAGCGGTGGCTGTCCCAGTCTCTTTCGGGAGAGATGGGCTGGGTGATTCACCGCCAGCCCCAGCGACAACCCCGCTTTGACACTGGAAGTACAGCCCGGCGCTCGCCCAGCGGCTTGCCGCCTCCTCCCGTACCGCAAGCCCCTCTTCCTTAAAAAGAGCCCCCCTAAGCCCTCCGGTCCTGCCGGACGGGGCCGGCGGCCGGGCAGTGACAGGCAGGGCTGCGACCTTCTCCCCTGACACAGTCAGCCAAAGGGGAGGGGAAGAGGAGAGGATGCCGGGCTGCAAAGAGAAAGAGAAAAATGCCTCCACGTGTCCGACCCGCCGTGCCCGGCTAATTAGACAACAACCCCGCTCTGTGCGCCCGCCCGGCAGCGGCGGCACGGACGCGGCCACGCGACGCTGCCGCCCCGTCCCGTCCCGTCCAGTCCGCCGCCCCCGGGGCGCCGCCGCCCCCGGCCCCTGGCGCGGCACGGATCGCTCTCGCCCGGGTGCGCGGCAGAAGGACGGGCAAGGGTGACAGCTCCGGCCGAGCGCTTCATCGGACCCGCAGACCCCCGCAGCTGCCCGCCCGCGCTGCCAGGCTCCGGCATGTGCCGAGCGGCGTGTGCCGGTGAAAAGCTAAGCCGCGCGGGGTGTAACTAGTCCCGCTGGAGACAGCCGCTCTCTCAAGGGCGAAAGAGCTGCCACTGCACGAATAAATGAAAAAAAAAACAAAACAAAACAAAACAGTCGAGGGAGCGAGCCCAATGCCCACACCCGCCGCCCACCTGCTGTGCCACCCCGCCGGGAATGAATGAATGAATGAATGGGACGGGACGCGCTACCTGCCGCCGCCAAACCCGCCAGACATTGTCCTGACCCGCAGCTGCGGGGCGCTCAGCTCCGTCGGACGCCGCTCTGGCCCCGGCGGGCAGCGAGCCCCGGTCCCCCCCGGCCCCCGCCAGGCGCGGAGCCCGAGCGCCCCGTCATCGGCAGCTCTGCGGCGTGTCCCGCCAAGCCGCCGCTTCCTCGGCGTCTCCGGAGGAGAGGGGGGGCTTTGGGGCCGGAGGCGGAGTAGACCAGGTGCACGGAGCACGAGGGGCTGCCCCGTCCGCCGGGCAAGCCCGTCTGCCGCTGCTGCCTTCCCCCTCTCCCGTCCCGCGCCCCGTCTGACAGGCGCGGAGCGGAGCGGAGCGGAGCGGGGCCGGCCGTCCCCCGCCCGCGGACAGCGGGTTACCTGTGCCGGGGTCTCCGGGACATCCTCGCACCGGCCGCTGGGGGAGGAGAACGGGGGAGCCCGCGCCCGCCGCCGCGCCCTGCTGCCGGGCTGCGCCTGGGCGCTCCGCCGCCGCGCACGGGAGTGCCGAGGAGCCGCGGGAGGAGGAGGAGGAAACAGGTTGAGATTAAAGAGTAAACTCTGTAAACAGAGATGCCATCAAACAAAGAGCCCTTGGACACTCCCCCTCCCGCCAAATCTGGCGCCCCTGCAGTGCGCAGGCGCCTGGCGGGCCCCGTGCCGCCGCGGCGGGCGCGGGGCGGGCGCACCGGGACCGCGCGCCCGACGGGGCCCTCGCGCCCCGCCCCTCCCGCGCTCCAGTGGCGGGACCGCCTCGCGCCGCCGCTCCCGCCGCTCGCGCGCCGCGGCCCCTCGACGGTGCCTCCGCGGCCCCCCTGCGCCCCGGGGTCTCACTGAGGGAGCTGTCGGGGCGGTGGGCGGTCTCCCCTCTGCCCCGTGCGCGGCGGGCGGAGAACCGGAGTCCCTCCGTGGGGCGGCGCGGCCGCTCCCGAGGCGACCCCGCCGACCCCCCACCCCAGGCCCTCGTAGGTGCGTCCCGCCGGCGAGCGGAGTGTGGGCACTCGCGGGTGCACCTGCTCCGCTCGCTGCGTGGCGTGCGGGCTGCAGCGGCACCGGTCCCGCGGGGGGTGGCGAGCAACTTTCGCTGGAAATATTAAAGGAACTCAGAGGGAGCCGGGGCCGGGGCTGCCCGAGGCTCGGCTGCGGTTGCCTCGCCGCGGGGGATTTCTGCTATAGTTCCCCTTGCTGCTGCCCGGCGGTGGATGCTGCCTGCCGCGACGGCGGCGGGAGAGACGGCGGGTGTCCGATGAGCTCCAGAGAACACGTTTTTTGATACAGAAATGAGTCAGGACGTGAAAAATGGCGAAACATGCAAAGTTCCCAGGCTGCGCTGCTGCTTAAAAAATCATGGCTTTGCAGCGGTTTCGGCGCACTCGCCCTTTCCTCAAAGGCCCGCGGCTCATCAATGAGCCGCCGACGGGGCGGGCCGGGGCGGGGCTGTGGGCCGCTCCCGAGCCCGCGGCGCCGCTCCCGGAGGGACGTGGCGGGATGCCGGGGCTCTGCGCTGGGCATAGCGCAGCCCCGTCACAGTCCCCGCCACCGCCCTGTTGGGAGTCTATGCGTCCCATAGGCTCCCGCTTAACGGGATTCACCGGCTCAGGCAGCCCGGAGATGGACAGACAGCCGGGGCTGTCTCCCCGAGCTCTGCATCAGGTCTTGGGATCACATCTCGTCCCAAATGCCAGAGGGTGCACGTCGTTTCTGTTTTGCCCCAGTCATGCCTCTGGCAGGACTTGCTGTCCCGTCTGGCCTCCATTTGCCTACCTGTTAAAGGGGTCTGTTGCACTGGGACACCAGCATTAGGACAGGGGAAAGGGGCTTTATGCCAATGCCAATGGCAGCAGGAGAACTGGAAAACTGAAGACTAATTCAGTGTATAATACCCTTGGTAAGCTTTGTATAAAGTGCGTATTGGCATCAGCAGAGAACAAGGCTACTCAGATCCTTTAGATTTTTGAGATGGGTTTTAGTGTTTGGTGTGTTTGGGGGGTTGGGGAGTTTTTTTTGGGGGGGTAGGGGGTTGTGTGGGTTTTTGTTGTTGTTGTTGTTTTGGTTTGGTTTGGTTTGGTTTGTTTGTTTGTTTGTTTTCCCCCAGTAAAGATGTATTTGGGGAATGAAGGGAATCAGGAGGTCAGAGGAAACACTGGAAGACGTCTTGATGACCACACTGTTGCCAGGTTGGGTATGTTACTGTTGCAGAAACAAAGCTGATCATAGTCCACAACAGTATCATTTTTCTCTGTGTGTAAAATGTTTCTGAATCCTTTACTGAAAATTATTTAAAAGTAAGAGAGGCTTCTGAGTACTGCTCCACTGGTGAGTATTGCTTTTGTACACAGGCCCAAAGCTGGGCCTGTCGTCAATGCAGCTGTAAGGATATGATAGGATTCACTGGATCTACTGCCAAGGACGCATACTACTTCTCTGTGCCTGAAAACGCACAGTTCACTGAAATGGTGTTATCATTTTGTCTAAAGTATCCCAAAAAGTTATAAACAAAATTGTGCGAGGTTTTCTCTTCCTTCTTCTGCAGGAAACATTTTCCCTTATTGATTTTTGCAAATATTTCAGCGTTAACCAAGACAAATCCAACATCTTCCTGATTTGGATGTAAATTTGCTGAACAAATGCAAAGAATGTCTATTATTGCTCTCAAGAGAACTGTTAATATGCACAATTTTCTTCTGATGATTTTTGTGTGGGGACACATTTCTTCTCCAGTGACTCTTAAAAAATAATTCCCACATGGAAAGAGAAATCCACTACATTTCATTAATAAGATTACATAGAATTGCAAATAAAACATATCTTACTGTGTTCAAAATAGAGAGGGGAATAGCACCTCTGCTCCAGGTTTAAAGATCAGTCTTCCCCAACTCACTCTGCATATATAAAGCTCACTATATTCAGTCAGGTATGTGCACGCACCCAACCTGTGTTGTTTCATTCTTAATGTTTAAAATTTAGCTAAAAACAAGCCACAACTCTACCATTTTGCTTTCTTTCCTGAGCATCTGTAGCTTGGGGGAATTTGGGGTATCAGGGTTCTTTATAATATATCCTTGCCAAAGCCCAAAGGGAAAAAAAAATCACCCTTCTACATCTCAAGATATCATATGCTCTAAATGTGCAGTAGCAGACTTCTTCTTATATTACCCTTCCAACTTCATTAATTAGTGATGTCTCTGAGACTATTTATAGTAATTGCATCAACTAACAGAGTAATTGTAAACAGTGTAACTGCATGTTCTGGTGAATTTTTTTTTTTACTTACACAAATTGTATAAGTAATTTCATAGAAGTAATTATATAAATAGTAAATACATATTGAGTCACTTGATTTCCTGCACCTCCACTACAAACATAAACCTCAAAATGGAGTTCAGAAGTATGTGAAGAAAATTTCAAAAATCCTAGTTAAACATCAATCCAAGATGTGCTGTCCTCTTCCTTTATGTTTTCCTGTTGTGATCTGCTGTTTAGTGGGCACGACCTGGGCTGAGTATTGCCAACTCAGTGTTTAGTTAATTAGGCATAACCAAATAGAAAAGGAATAGTGAAGGAAATTTAGCTGTGAGAAGAACAGTAAGACAGAACACCAGGATTTTCCAAGTGGACAGGAGGTAGTTGCATACATTCTTTTTAGATTTTGAAAATCTCCACAGCAATCTCTATCTACCTGTCCTACTTTTTCTGAGTTTGTCACAATCTGCAAGGAATACTGTGAAATCAGTGTCTAACAACTTATATGTGTCTAACAACACACATATTTTTTTCATATCACAAGTGTTATAAATTGCCAGCCTTCTTTCCCTCTGGTCCAAAGGTATCTTAGAATGCAAGAAGGATTTTTATAAATGTATGGTAATGTGTGCTTTTTTGTTTACTTTCTGCATTTCTTTCAGTCTCTGCAGCATAAAATAATAAGCAACTTTCACTTTTTTAGTTTCACTTTTAGACTGTAGTTACGGTAAAGTTTCAAATGCAGTTGTGGTATTTTTATAATTGAACATTAGATGGTTTTTGATATTTTGACCAGAAATGTTTTTCATAAATAATGTTAATACATTTGAAATAAAATAAAAATATAGGTTTTCCTTTGATGTAGATTTCCTAACATAAGTTCCTCATGAAAGAAGATAAGATTGATTAAAAACTCAGGGGAAGGAGAAAGAAGACCAGGGTTTAATGCCACTTGTATCATATACCAAGTCACTTAGAGCCATGTATTTAGCCAGATTCCCTTATCTGTGGATACAAATTATGTCCCACAATGTGCATTAACATTTTTGTTCCAGTAAACTGTGCTGTATGTGAGGGCCAGCCTGGTGTCTGCTCTGCTGGCTTCCCAAGGGGTACCTGCCTCAGAGGCAGCTGGATGTGTTGCCACCCAGATTTGCATGTGTGTTGGGACTCCAAGAACAGCAAGCACATAGGTGTGAGTGGCAATCACCTACCCTACTGAAAATGGACATTGCATGGACCAGGATAGGCCCAAAACAGATGTCAAAGTGTAGGCCAGAAGGAGATACAGCTACCTCCACACCATCATACCCACATTTTCTTGCAGCCAGAGAAAGGCTACTGAGCTGATTGAAAACTTTCAGCAGCTGGAAACAAGATCCCTCCTAAGCTATGCATCCATGTACTTGGAGAAAGAAGGAGGTGCTCTGATGGCTCCTACTCCAGTGATGTAGATGGCGTAACTTCGATCATTAAGTTGCACATCTGGTTTCAGTACATGCAGTCTTAGAGCCCTCTAGACCACTGTTACCCTGTGATTATAGCAGAGCACCTACACTGAAAATCCTGTGTATTCTGGCAGAGAACAGAAATAAGACAGCAGCCATTCAGACATACAAGTTGATTGCACTATATCATTTTCTTTATTTATTTTTAAAGTCTAGTTGACCTTAGCTCAGGTCAGGTAGCACTAAGAATTCACTAGTAAGGTGAGACTGAATCAACTGAAATTTTATAAGAAAGGGATAGCTAGCAGAATAAAAGATCTATTTTCTTTCTGATGTAACGTCTAGATTTTCCTGATGGCAAAGTCTTGGATGATCCTGTTGGTTTTAAAGGTTAGGGAAAACCAGAAAGGACCTGTGCTGCTCCTAGGAGAAAACTTTAGATTATAGCTATATAATATAAAATTAAAGGAATGGACATCACTTGATGAAATTAGGATCTTGAGTGAGGGAGCAAAGGTAAACCTTACAGTCTTTAGCAGAGGCTTTTTTGTGGTAAGCCCTCTTTGTTTGTGTATGGCTTGGAAGGAGAGTAATGCCTGAGGCCTTCCAACTGCAAAAATAGCTTACTATAGGAACTGAACATATGTTGTACAAAAGCTGTTATTTTATTTGTTCTGAAACAGCATAGTATAGTAGTTGCAAAATGAGGCTTGGGGCAAGTGGCACCAATTCCTTGGACAACAGCAGAACCACACGGTGACTTGG